AACTGAACTCATGTTTGATGAGTATTATTTTTAGCACAACCCCATTGGCATGTTTCAGGACACTCTGAAGACAAAGCTGTCATAAACTGGCTTCTTAACGTTTGTATTGTCATCCAGAAATAAGCGGAAATGTTGCAGCGATGTCACAGAAAAATACAACACAAATGCAAGCATACAATCCATTTATGCTTGGCATGCAAACAATAGAGGCTGTCGCTCAGAATAAGAATCCATCAGCTTCAAACCCACGCACGTCTGTCTCTTTATAGCTTAAAGCTAATGAATATTTTCTTTTAAAATTATTTTTCAGCTTCAGTGGGAAAGTGACAGAAAATATGCACGAGAAGAGAGAGAGAGAGAGAGAGCATGTAACAAATGTCTCCAACAAGATTTAACAGCATGTATATGTGACTGTTGCATCCACAAAGAGGTCATGAGATGAAACTTATACATTGCAGAGGGGGAAAAGTCATAAGGAAGTAAGGATTTGCACTGACAAGAGCATCACAAGATGTCTGCAAGGCTCAAAATCACAAGCCTGTTGTCAGCAGTGACAAACAGGATTCCAGAGATTATGAGCTTTCATCCAGTTTAATCACTGCCAGGTACAGATGTAGGCAGATAACAGCGTGTAATCCTGCAGATAGGTGAAGCCAAAAGAAGCTTGTTTCAAAACCTTGTAACAGGAGACTCCTTCACTCTCACCATATAGCAGATCCATGGAACCTGCTAGAACCGGTGCAGCATGTTAACCCAGAGAACAAATCAGACTGCGGTATAGGAAACCAGTTCTCAGTTCAAAGCCTGCACAGGATCAAAGTGTGCGATTAGCAGGAGACTCATTTACTCATTTGAGAGCAGATCCGGGTCCCTTTGTTATTCTTTTCATCCTTCATTACAGGTGAAGCTTAACATATGGTAGAACTCAAAGATCAAAGTCTGGGATTACAACAAACCCACATTTAAGCTCTACTTCAGTCTGATTTAAAAAAAAAAAAACTGCAACAAAATTTTGAAAGCAATTATAGACAAAACGTGCATATTCCTCATGCTGACGAATAGCTTTTGGTGCAGGGACTAACAAATGGATTCCCATTTATATGTTAAACATTTATCTGATTTCATTCCATTGCATTTGAACAAACACAATACTTAAAATCAATCAAAAAAAAACAAACAGCAAAGGCAGTGTGCAGATGTCTTAGAACACTGCACAAGAGAGCTAGAATGGAGAGGGTAGATATTCAAAAGTTAAATGCAAGCCAGTTGTGTTGCAATAAACTCGGACAGGGGCTGTACGTGTGGAGTATGCATGTTCTCCCCGTGCCTGGGGGGTTCTATCCAGGTACTTTGGCTTCTAAGACATGCTGGTGACTCTAAAATTACCCATAGGTGTGAATGTGAGTGTGGCTGGTTGTCTGTCTCTGTATGACAGCCCAATGACAGCTGGGATCGGGGGGGCATCCACCAATGGGGAAAGCGGTGTATCTAATGGATGGATGGAAGTCGTGTTTTTTTTGATAACAGCACTCCAAATTCATGGCACAGGTCATAGCTTAATGTATAAAAATCCACCGGGGCCCTTTCAACCAGTGTTCATCACTGCTAAAAATAATTAGACACAGTGAATATTACCCAGAAACTGACAATGGTATCATGTTTATTTCACTAACGTGGCGCCAATTGCTATGAAGAGCATGCTTTGTTCTGCTCGCAGGCCGGGATCCGAGAGCGCTTGACCCCAAAGTCTGGTTCATTTCATCAGTTTGAACACAAACGTATCGTACCGTACATGGGTGCCGTGCCCGAGTCTGCTTGAAGGAAGTGGACCACTAACGGCTCCTGTCGCTTAAAAAAACATTGTATCTGTGCAGAACTGGTCGGTTTCATCCTCTGAGCTGCGATATGTGTGTAGGAAGAGGATCGTTGTTGGCGTCTCAGAAATAACAAAACCATCCACAATTAGCAGGATTGCCTTTTGCGGCGGGAGAGAGGAGAGGGGGAGCAATCATGAAACAATTGCGCCTAATGTGAAAACACCCTAAAAACCTCCGTCCAAGCAGAAGAAGCTGAAAATCACGGTTCAAAGGTTAGGAAAGCAGTTACCTGCTCCGCCTGTTGACAAGCAGCGCCTCTGCATTAACATACTGACACTCATTCAGCAGCAACATAATGATTAAAGAAGGCCCTCCTTACTTATGGCAGAGGTAACAGAGAGTGTGGTTATGTAGATGTGTTGAAAGCAGAGCGCTGTTCTCATGTCCTGTGTACCACATGTCTGCAGGGAAAGATTATTAAATTATTCAGCTTGGGGAAGAGCCTACATATTGAAATAAATATGAGAAACATGAGAATATCTTGCTCTTCAATTAGGAATAAACCAAGTACGTTGACTTGCCTTTACCCGACCCAATATTTGTTCATCGTGTTTAAAATGCAAGGAGCAAAAATAAAAAGCCTATAAACATTTAGTCTTTTTTTTTCAGTATAGCGTTCCCACATTATGTTCATTTTATAAAGTGTTATCTGAGCGATATTAAATTTACTACAAATTATATTTATACATACAGTATATTTTACAGATTATAAAGAGGTAAATAAAGATAAAGAAACACATTCAATAATTTAGATATTTGTGACATTTTTGCAATTTTGTAAATTTATGTAAAAGAACTCGACCTGATGACTTCCACCCACCCATGCATGATAAGTAAAGCCTGTTCATGCTTGATGAGTATTTTTCTTCTGCTGCTGCTTGTTAACTTCATGTTTTACCCTGTGGTGTTTTGTTAAGATTGATGTGTTAATTAATCTTGTTGATCTCTGGACTACAGCCTCTGTACATGCTGCACACCACATAACCACTTGGCTCCTTCATTGTAGTGCTTAAAATAAAGTTGTTTTTATTTTTAGTGGTTCCACTAGATAAATATCAGCACCAGGTTCCTGGGTATGCACTCGCTGTTTTTGTATTTCAAACACTTTTCCCTGACAGTTTGAAGACCAGCAGGCTGCAGTCTGTCTCTGGTGCTGCTCTGGAGGGAAAACATTTCATCACGTTTCACCTTCATTTGTATCTCTGGCTAAGCTTTGGTTATAAATAAGACACACACTGTTGTCAGCTATTCTCACTGCTGTCAGCAGCGTCCACCCAGGCTGAACTCACACTTCATAAATTATACAGACAGCATGGACATCTCGCTATTCGACATAGCATCAAGAAAAGAACGATCAGGTCTGAATATTCAGAGCTAAACTCTGAGTGAAAAAGTCAGAAGTGTAGAAAGTGAAACTCTTTTTTTGGCTGCTGTGTCCATAACTCATGAAGTTTAACCTAACCCGCAATTCACACATACTCCTTGTGCGCCGCACAAGTCCGTAGATTGTGTTTTATTTTGAAATTGACCGGATGCTCTGTGCGTTTCCTTGTCTGACTTCCTGTCCAAAGTGTCATATTCTGTCCAGCTTGACGCGTGCCTGCAGCGTACCCCGGTGAAAATAGACTCGCTGCGTATTTGAAACGGAGCAGAGCGCAGTGCCGTTGGTGGCACGCTCCGGAGACGGACCGCAGCGCGCGCTGTGTGAACACAATGATTGACTAGAGTGAAAGCTAAGTACAACGTAGTGCGCGGCGCTGACGGACCGCGGCGCGCACGGAGTATGTGTGAATTGGGCTTAAGAGCAGTTTTGGGGTGCTCTGTTTTGCTCAAGGTAACCTCGGCAGTGCTCGGGAAGGGAGCCGGCAGCTTTCCATCAACCAACCCAGTTTCATATGTTTGAACCCTTGAATCACCAGTTCCCAAACCTAGGCCTTACAGATCGAGCTACTGCCGCCCTTCAGATTTCTTCTATGTTCTTCTTCCGACTTAATGTTGTTCTAAAAATACAGCAGCTTGTGGCTATTGGCTGTACTGTCTGAGCCATGGTGTAAAATATGTAAATGAGTTCTGATTAATTGCCTTGTCACTAATCCTCACAGTTGATCCCTTCCAGAGTGGAGGCCCTGATTTGCATATCTCATTTTACATCTACTCTTTTCTGATGGAAAGCTGGTAATTACGGTTCAAGCTTGGCTCGTTGCTCTGTTACTGAATGAATGTGACCCGACAGTCACACAGAGGCCACCAAGGAATTTTAATCACACCCCCCCAAAACCAAGGTCCCTGTCAAAACATGTACAGAAAGGACTGACCAGAGGACTGACAATTTAATACAGAGATGTTTTTAACATCCAATTAAAAAAAAGTTCTATATCTAACCAGGAAGATGGAAAGCCTGAGAATCCTTATTCTTTGCACTTGAAGTTGATTTAAATGGTTGACACTCGGACACCTAGCGTTCAAAATAGGTACTGCAGTCTCCTTCCCTAGCCAAAGCTGTCTCCCCTCACCACCTCCCCCCTAGTGCCCATGTGTGCACTGTACTGAAGCTTCAGTGTTTAGCCAGGTCTGCATTGGTCTGTAAACCTTTCTGTGTTCTAACCTCTCTACATTTTTCAAAAGCATCTCCAATATTGATCCTAGTTTGAGCACGTTTCTGCTCGTGGAGCTTATCAGGAACATGCAGAGGCTTTTTCGGTCGGGTACAATCACTTCTACCTGAACCAGATCTCTTGCCCGCTTCCATCACTGAAACACCTGTTCATTTTTAACAGATCTATGAAAACTTCATTTATAAAGCACCTTTAAAACAAGAGCTTACAATGACGACGAGGAGAGCAAAATCAGGATACAGTGTGGACACTGTGTAATTCACTTCATATTCCATCTTAGATTAGATAAAATATACTCTATTATTAACAATATTATCATCATATTTCCCTGAAGGAAAATCTGCCTCAGACTGAAGTGCAGAGGATACATACAGCTAAGTGCAACTCAAGACAGGCGACCCGACAATACACATCAAGTGCATTTGTACATTAAATCAATGCAGGAAGAGCAGAGATTAGCATGCTGACAGACATACATGTTCATGTCCGTTGTTACCATGAAACTCACCTGTTTGACATCGTAAGCGAAGAGAACATACTTCAGATCCGGGGAGACAGAATATTTGTCCACGTTGAAATTGACCTGGTGGGAAGCAGACAGAAAGAAACACAGAAAAACACTGTTATTATGATGGGATTCATATAATGATCCTGTTAATCTAACATACAGTATGAGAGAGACTAACGTGTACTTACAAACGTTGTGTTTGTCAGGACGATCTCGGTCTCGTTTGTGAGGATGTTGAACCTGATGACGTGACCGTCAGTGTTTCTGTAGATGACTTCAGAGTCTGTGTGCGGGAACGAGAACAAAGAAATAAATGTCTGTATGAGCGAAATGGATTTTTTTTTTAAAAGCCGTCCTGCAAAAAAGAGATTGCAGAGGAAAGAAATACAAAGAGAAGCTGCCTCTTCTTAGAACTGCAAAGATGTCATTAAAAAAAAGACTAGGTTCTAAGCCTCATTGTTCAGACGGAGGAATAACAAAGCAGCACAAAAACAAACCGGCTCAAGTTTGTGCAACTCTAATGTGATGTGATTAACTGTGAGAATTAAAAAGTAGGATTTCACTCCCTGACAATGACAAAGAAAGAGCCTGTGTTTTCCATCTTCTAGGTAACACAGCATGCGCTGCATTAAGGGAAGAGTACTGTGCTCCAGCAGGAAACATCTTTTGTGATCGCAAACGTGACAACATGTTTGTTCTGTGTCGAAGGCAAACAAGCAGAATCTTTAAATGTCATGGTAGAGGGGATCGTGTCGACACAGTAGCATGTACAGCTCTCACAAATATAAAGGTTAGACGAGAATAAAAAGTTAATTTATGAAGCACGTTTCATTACAGCACAATGTGCTTTACATTGATGATACAAACAGAGGAATACAATAAGCAAACAGTTATTTCAACAATCATGAATAAGATACAGAAATCAAATAAACTCTCATTCAGTGCCACCACATATAGTCCTACAGTCAAACACCAAAAGTAGCCACACAAAAAAAGCCTAAGAAAAACATACAGCTGATAACACCAGTGATAACTTATTCAGGAATCATTTCACCTGGGTATGATTATGTATTTTATGGGGTTTGAATGAACAAATAAGTGGTCAAAAAGGTTAAATACTTTGATACCAAATCTTTTTAAACAATATATTTTCTATTATTTGAATGAGCAATGGCATAAAAAATTGGCAAAACGTTTAAAAAAAAAAAAAAACGATGCATCTGATTTATGAGACAGGTCACTGAAACGTTGGCAACATATTTGTGCAAATGCAGTGTGTCAGAGACTGTTTGCAATGTCTGATCATTTAAATTGAGAAAGTGTCCAATATTGGACGACTAGGACTTCTCTTTTTGTTGCTTTGGTTGAAACAGGTAGGTAATGACATTGTAAGTTTGTCTCCGGAGAGCAGAGGCACTACGTTCTGCTCTGTTTCAAATATGCTACAAATTCATTAATTAATTTCAAAATAAAACACAATATACTAATCATGGTTATATTTTCCTTCTTTTTATCAACATTGTGTCCAAGCAGCACCAAAACCAACAAAAAAACCAGAAACCATGGCGCTGATGGACCGCTGCTCACACAGAGTATAGGGTAATGAGAAGTTATAATACCTAAACAATATACTCACTGTGCTGCATTTTCTTTGGAATAGCCAACATTCACACAAAAGAACCGGAGACAACATTAATGTAGCACTGACAAAAACTACCGTCCCTTTAAAATGGTGCAAGACAATTTTTCATGAAAAATATCCAAATAATTTAATTTGATGTCTGCTGATGCTAAAGTCAAATCAGTGCATGCCTCAGGGAGAGCACTTCATATTTAGAGCTGATAAAAAGGAGCTCGCTCCTATGATCTTTAAAACATTACCATACTGTAGGTCTCGGCTCTGCTCTGCACTTGTCTCCTTAAATAATGAAATGTTCGTAAGGAAGAAAAGAACAAGCTCAGACTCTGATGTATAAGTAATGTCCTACGTCTGTAACCCCATGAATAATGAAATGCTCTGGCTTTTTTCTACCGTGCTGAAGCAGCGACGGTGGGCTCCTGTGGATTGAGTAATGGTCACTCGCATGCCACATGCAACCAGCTCAGCTTTTTTTCTTCTTACTTCACAGATAAGTACACATGATACTTCCTTCCTGTCGATGTTTGCCCGATAAATATTAAAATGTAATACACCAGTTTTAACAAAAAGAGCCCTTGACGACAGCTCTCCCTCGACTTTTTAAAGCCTGTGCTCTTAATACTCTCGCCGTTTTGTTTTGAAGGGAACACTGGGGTTTGAAGGGGAAATAGTGCACATGTCTGACAGGTGCACAAACACTATATGCAGCAGTTCCATTTATTTTCAGGCCTCAAGCAAAAGAGACTCAAACTGATTTGTTCTTAAATGTCACATAGGTGTGTTTCAGTGTTTCTCTTATACTTGAAATGTTCTCTTTTGCTCCTGTTGAAGGACTCATTTACAGTCCGCATTCATCTTCAAGTGTTCACTGAAGGATCATTTTGCTTCTACATGCATGAAGATTTGAGATATTCAGACAAGAACTGAAGTCAATATTTAACAAAATAAATTATATGTACAAGAAGTTATTTTCATGATGTCATCATTAACATGTTTACTAGCGTCAGTGAGAGTTTTCTTAGATGTAGAATACTGATAGCACATCAGACAACTACTTAAAGGACCAATATGTAAGATATCTACTGATCACAAAATGACCTTTCTATATCAGGAACAGTCTTACTCACAATCATCTCTATAAAGGGATAACCTGCATGTAATCGTGCCGCTGTAAAAGAGGGAGATTTTGGTGAAAAGTGCGAGCAGTGTTGGCTAAGCATGTTTTAGCAGTTTTAGTTGCAGACAGAAAAACGTTGCGAATCTCCACACAGCCCGACTACAGCGCCATTTGGCTGGTCCGTCAGCGCCACGGTATTGCTGATCGGACTGCCTGCGCCTTGCTCCACTGGAATCCGTTTCTGGAACGTGAACACAGTCATGAGCTGTTGTACACACATCACAGAATCAGAGATATGTGCAAACAACATGTGGCTTTGCTTGACAATTTGTTGTTTGTTTCATGTAATGTTGACAACACAATGACAAATACGATCGCAAGTCCGTATATTGTGTTTTATTTTGAAATTGACGGGACTCTCTTAGCGTTTCCTTGTCTGACTTCCTTTCTGGGTTGTAACATTCTGTCTAGCTTTACGTGTGCCTGCAGCGTACTCAGTCCAAAATAGACATCAAGCGTATTTGAAACGGAGCAGAGCGTAGTGGCGCTGGTGGCACGCTCTGTATGGAAGCGATTAGTGATCAAAATTCAAATGATAAAGCTAATTTGAAAATTCCAATGCATTAACATGAATGCTTTTTAATTTTCAGAATATGAGTGTATTATTTGACTCAAAAATAAAATGATGATTCATTTATCTAATTTGCATTTTAGGTTTCAACTTCAAAAAAGCACATTCTTTGACTAAATTAAGAAAATGACATTTGCTTTATCATTTTCAAAAAATGCCCCGCTAAATTTGTATCATAATTCAAATGAAAAAGCTAATTTTAAAATGAAAATATATGAACAGAAACACGTTTTAATTTCCCGAATATAGGTGCTTTATTTGACCTATATTTAAAATGAATATTCAGTCATCCAGTTTGCATTCTACTTTTACTCTCTATGTATGCATTTTGTATGACATCATTCAAATATAAACGAAAAGGTCTTTGGCTTTTTGTTTTCAAACTTGCTGTGCTAAAAAGTGATCATAATTCAAACCAACTCGAAAATGAAATGGCAAAGTGGAAGGCGCAGGAAAGTGATGTCAGACTCCAGCTCCCAGGCAGGCGAACGCAATATTTACAGTCTATGAGGCGAGCGGGCAGAACGCGCAGTACGATGGGTGCATATTTAACGCTGGTACAAGCGCCAAACTAGATGTTGCCCTGATTTTAATTCAATTTTTAGTTGATTATTCTTTTAATAACTACAAAACAATCTCTGAAAGGGAGAGAGAGCTCATATAGTCGGTCGAGAGTGTGTGCCATTACGCACAGAACTAAAGTCTGCCCTAGTGTTAAAAGATTCACCCCGTCACCCATCGTACTGCGCGTTCTGCCCGCTCACCTCATAGACTGTAAATATTATGTTCACCTGCCTGGGAGCGGGAGTCTGATGTCACTTTCCTGCGCAGCCCACCTTGCCATTTCGTTTTCGAGTTGGTTTGAATTATGATCACTTTTTAGCACGGCAAGTTTGAAAACGAAAAGCCAAATACCTTTTAGTTTTCATTTGAATTATGCCATACAATATGCATACATAGAGAGTAAAAGTATAACGCAAACTGGATGACTGAATATTTATTTTAAATATAGGTCAAATAAAGCACCTATATTCTGAAAATTAAAACGTGTTTCTGTTAATGTATTTTCATTTACAAATTAGCTTTTTCATTTGAATTATGATACAAATTTAGTGGGGCATTTTTTGAAAATGATAAAGCAAATGTCATTTTCTTCTTCATTTTAATTTAGTCAAAGGATGTGCATTTTTGAATTTGAAAATTCAAATTCAAATTAGATAAATTAATCATTATTTTATTTTTGAGTCAAATAATACACTCATATTCTGAAAATTAAAAAGCATTTGTGTTAATGCATTTTAATTTTCAAATTAGCTTTATCATTTGAATTTTGAATTTTATCACTAATCGCTTCCATACGCTCTGGAGACGGACCGCAATGCTCGCTGTGGAAACACAATAATTGACTAGAGTGGCAGCAAACTATGGCGTACTGCGCAGCGCTGACAGACCGAAGCGCACACAGAGTATGTGGAAATTGGGGGTTAACCATGCAGTCATAATAAAAACATTCATGTTGTGACATGTGGACATGGAAGAGAGAGAGGACATTTATTCCAGCTAGCTATCATATTTAAAAAGTTGCAGAGCTTTCTACATAAAATTGCCACAGCATGATTGCTGCTGCTGAAAATAATTAAAAAGCCAAAGCTAATTATTCTTATAACGCTTAGAAATGGTCTGCCAGGTGAGCATTTCTCTCGATTAAAATGGTAAACCACAGTACATGGACGGACTGCCTTGAGCAATAAATTAGCCTTGTGTAATGATATTTCTCTTCTTGTGTTTGTATTTAGTGAGCCTCGAGACACAGTGCAATTTTCCTTTGAAAAGGCCAGATTTATTAGGGTTTTAACTGTCCAGCTCCCGAGTCTGCTGCCCACATAACTGTCAGGG